AAAAAAGCCCAGAGTGATGGGATCCAGTTTTGGAACGAGTTTTGAGGTTAGTTTCGGAAGAATGAGATCGGAGACGGACGCTATTGTTGCGCTTGAGTGCAGAGCAGATGTTAAACGAATAAATTGTACCTTTCATAGGGAGATTTTCGTGCTTCATGAAGCGTACAATCGCTTGTTCAAGGTTGTTGAAGAGATCAAGACTGGGAAAAATGTTTTGAGTAGCATAACCAGTCATTGTGAATACAGGCAGAAAAGTGTTCAGATGAAGTGGCTCAGCATGAAGGTCGCGAGGAAGAAGCCTGTAGAACAGGTCGAACATCATCGTAGAGGAGCAATTCGACGGCACTTCTGCATGAAATGAATCAGATTAAAACGGAATCGTATAGTTGCTAAGAAGACATCCACCCACCTCGACAAGAGGAACAAAGCGGATCCTCGTTGCAAACGACTTGGCAAGTTATCAACCGAGTGCGATACGGTATGCAGTAGCTGATCAGCTGGTGAACAACGTCAACGTCATTGTCCGTAAGTTCTGTGCAGTTGAAGAGGAGGTTTGGCGATAGACAAGACACGAAGTTGGCGATGCTCCAAATGTTCCGATAAGGTGTATAATCGTCAAAAGCACTTAATTCCTCGAAAATGTGCTCATGCATCGAACACATCTTACGAAGAAATGTCAATTCGAAGATGCTCGACAAATTGGGCACTTCGATTACCACTTGGCTCAGATAGTTCACTGAACAGACAAAAGGCATCATTGGAACAACATAAACTTGAGAAGGATTGAACTTACTGAAGGGGATTGGAGAATCATAGCATGGGACTTTAATGAACGTGCTAAATAAATCTTCTGCCCATGACCGTTTCCTCCTAGCTGACGTCCCAAGTGTGGTATTCAGTGATTCCGTAGGAGGGTAAAGTGGAGGTCGGTTGGTGAAATTGATGCGATTCGAGGTTTGTAGAGTTTGCTGCAATTTCTGCCATGCCAATCGGGAGCCAGACAGTTCCGTGTCTTTTGTGTCAAAACCCTAAACATCATAACATTAAACTGAAAAATGCAATCACTAACTACCCCGGATTTGTTAAATTGACGTTGACATTGATCGATACACAGGAATCTGTCGAAATGATGTCTATGCGTTGGTCCGCATTGACCCGAATAATCAGAGTTTTCAGGCCGTGACAAGGGCCGCTGTGAACGGTCTTCGCCCTGACGGAACTCGACGTGGGCAGCTCAGAGAGAGAGCCGACCGCACACGTTGCGATGAGCAAAAACTCACGATTTCAGCATTCTGACTGAGTCGAATAGGTCGAAAATAGAGGACGACGAGTGGCAACAGGCCGATGAGCAACAGAGCAGCGATGGCTACGGCGAGCGGATGCCGATAAAGAAATCGCGAATATTCGCGTAACAGAAAGGACATTCGCCACTAAATGGCCGCAACGATAGGGCGGCACCTACGAGGGGGATAGCAGCCGTGGAAATCGGCTCGTTCCTGGCGAAAATAATGACCACCACCACCACTGCAACCGGCTGGTTTCGCACCGGTTGAGGAGTGTGGTGCGTCCGTCCCCGCGCGATCCACCCACACGCTGTGGGAAACCTATGGCAGAGAACGCCGAAATTTACATTATTTCAAGGTCACTTGGGGTTGCGTCAGTTCCAGTTTCACTTATATAAGTGAACGCTGTGAAAGACAGTGCTGCTAATCCGTTGATTGCCTAAATTTCTAAAAAAACAATGATATTGTTGAGTTCAAAAAGGATTCTCTCATCATCTTTAGTAATTGATACTAGGCGAAAGGACTGGAACCACTTTTTAATTCATTTGTAATTCTACTCAGCAATTATTTTCATGAAGCAAGCACTACATCCGACGTTTTTACAGTCGACAATGTCACGCAGAGGCTTTGCTTGAATGAATGCCGAATGTTTTTGAGACATGCGATCTTGGACGGATGTGAACGCACGCGTTTTTCTGAACACAAGCTACCGGTTTACTCAAGCCGTTGACCCAATTTTGCAACACAATTACGATATCGACACGAATTCATCCAGAATGAACTTTGAAGAAGACAAAGTACACAGGATTTGGAGTTATGTACCCCATTGCTACAGCTTCTTCCATAAAGTCCGTGGTAAAGAGCGGTTCTAATTTGTTCAAACATCAAATTGTGAGTAAATATCAGTATATCTTCGATATTTTTACAATCTTAAGACCATACTACAGTAATCAATATGGGTTCGAACTCTGGATCAATATCCGCCCACGTAAGTCAAGCCTTCCATCCCTCCGAGCCGGTTAATTGGTACCAGACTCGTCTGGGAAGATAAAACACTGACTTGTACATCTGCTGACCATCGTCATTGTCTAGGCCACACACGCATTTGCTACGCCACTACGATTCTGAATGGAAGTCGAATGCGGGGCACATCCCTCACATGGCATTGATTAACGCCCCAACATCTAGACCTTTACCCCTTTCACAAATCGCGCTTACGGTTTCCTCTTATGTGTACCGCCGACCTCCCTTCAATGATCCCATACGCATACGAACACTACCAATTCTGTGTTCTAAAGTTGCAACTACGAGAGGAGGGCATGATACGACACTGGTAACAGTGTATAAAGTTTAGGCATAGTTCATGTTAACAAGATTTTGATTACTTCACTTTGACCGGCTTTTTCCAGTCCCTACCCCAGAGAGACGATTTAGATTCAGCTGATTCTGAAAGAGAATGGTCATCCTACAAGCGGAGGTGCGAGAAATCTTCAGTGATTGCATGAAATGATAGGATTGCACACCCAGCGACTTTCTGCTACTNAGTGTATAAAGTTTAGGCATAGTTCATGTTAACAAAATTCTGATCACTTCGCTTTGACCGGCTATTTCCAGTCACTAGCCCAGAGAGACGATTTAGATCCAGCCGATTCTGAAAGAGAATGGTCACCCTACAAGCGAAGGTGCGAAAAATCTTCAGTGATTGCATGAAATGATAGGATTGCACACCCAGCGACTTTCTGCTACTGTGCTACAGTGGCGCAAGAAAGAGTTATAGTGCTGAAGTCTCCCTATCAAAATGTTTGGCTCACGGAAATCATCGAGAGAGATAAAATGAATCACTGGCTTTTCAGAGAGTACACTTCTACTCATTCTTGAACAATCATGAGAAGTCTTGAAACTGACCGAACTGCATTTTTGCAGCACAAAGAAGCTGTGATGCAATTGCTCCTCACAAGTAGCTGTGCATGCTATTGCCTAATAATTCACACACATTTGTGTTCGGCTGTCTTAAAGGCACAGTTCACGGTAAATAGGAGGTACCCCTTTTATTAATAGCGGAAATATAGATTGGAAATAATTCATCGCTAGTGAAGAAAGCGATTGTGACCGGTGCAGCCTCTACGATGCCGGTGAAACTCGTCCGAGGATACACACGGTGCAATCTTTGAACCTTTATGACGCCATAACTAGGCTCTTTTCCAACATGATAACGCCAGTTATGGTATGCGACGGGGCTTCGAATTCACCCTATGGGGTATCTCAGGTAGCTTTTTTATCGTGAGCTGTGCCTTTAATCTACTCTGCTACACGAATCTAATCAGCATCATGTAGTGCAATGTAAAGTAGTGTGTGGGCTAGATAAGAAAGGGCAGATCCTCACTTGATAACAGTCCTACTTTCAGCAAATCGTCAACAGGTAGTACTGTTATTTGATTTCTCTGTCCGGTAATTCTGCAAAGGTGAATGAAATAGACACCCCAGAAAGGATTTTAAGATTTCCGTTGGCGATTGTTGATTTTGTATACAAACACACATACACACCAAAAGGCACATAGTGTCACACTCAAACAACGGAATCTAATCGGTTTTATTTGATTTCCCTATAAATATTTCGCCTGTTTGACAACTCCGTTTCCAACGGCGAACTGGCAGCTGACCAACTTGAACAACGCCTGGATATACAGCTAGTGTGATCTCATCAAATTCACTCAGGAATTGTTTGCTCGTCGTCTTCGACGACAACCTGAAAATAACCTGAATAAAAAAGATTCCGGTTATATCTGAAGTTGCAGAAAGGTTTGGGACCCTTTATAATATTTGAGAAATCCTAAAGTTCTGGAAAAGTCTATGGAGCTGGCCAACTAAAACGATGGCTTCAGAACAAAACCGACAGCAGTTCCTGGTAGGCTTTGGAAATAGTGACTGTGTGTTCTGATTATCACCAACTGGGATACCCTTCACAGGAATAGGACCACATACACATTAGGGAGATGGCTGTCGATGCCGTTTTGAGCTTACCTGAATAATGCCCGAATGAAGTGCAAAAAGGAGAGAGAGTGTGATTGCTCCCAATCCAAACAGTATAGTGTCTCGTAATGGTAAATCTTCCTGCACCAGAGTTGCCTCTGCTGTTGCAACCTAAATAAATGCTCTAATGTGGTTACCTCCCAATTTCACAATTCAGGAAAACCCTTTTACCTTCTCGGCTTCTTTTAATTTCTCTGCCTTTTGCAACCTGGTTTCCCACATTTTTCGTTCAGATTTTTGTAACCTCAATTGCTCTTCAGAAGGAGGGAGATATATTGATGCAACCTGCTCCACGAATCGGACCTAAGCGCAAAAGATCATCTACACAGAAAACCAAAGACTAAGTTTGACTGACAAGATTTGGGCAGGCCCTCAAATGGAGCTGCAGCCTGTCGTTCGGTAGTGGGAGGCGAAGAAGAGGGGCAAGGTAGCCGAAAACCAAAGCATCAAGCGAACTCGGTCTGGAAGCAATCTGCTGAACAACAATCGAAAAGGCACTGAAATGTGAACTCACTTGTTTCCACAGAAGAACTTGTTGTCTCCAAGTTTCGATGAGAGTAGGTTCAAAGCCTGTAAGATACAGGGAAGTCGAAGATACTGAACAAAAATCTTCGAATAATATTACTTGCAATCCGTCTTTCATTATGGAGCTGACGCTCTTCTCGGAGAGCAACCGTTGGATTCTCTTCCGGCGCTTCTCAAGGTAGTAAAGATTGTAAGGAAACGACAGCCGCGAAGAAAACCAGTGATGTGTCACAGTGCTATAGTTTAAATCGTCGCCCCAGAACGTATGCATCTGAAAAGGCTTAATTCTAGCAAGGTCTGAAAGCATGGAAATCATTCGAATGGGGTGTTTGTTACACAAACTGCTCGCGTAAACAACTTCTTCATCTGAAGAAATAAATCTTAAAAACTATAAAAAGCTTGCCACAGCTGGATATATGAACTCTTTCAGAAAACAACTAAATGCATCTATTTGCGAACGTTCAGCAGGCGTCAATTCCGCATCGATCACTACCTCCTGACCACTTTTCCTCAACATATCGACAAATCTAAAGTACGTAGATCACAAGATGAAAACAAAAGACACGTTTAGAGAAATAAAATCCTTTATGAAAAAAAAAACACTACACCTGTCAAAATCGGTGATCGCTTTTGACTGGTTTGATTTGTCGAAAAGAATGGGATACTCTCCTGAAAAATGAAGATTTAGCTCGGAAAACTTAAGTATAGCAAAGCACAAGTTTTTGCTCATTGAAAGAAAAAGGCTTGGGCAAGCTTCGTAAGAAGAAGAGCACAACAAAACCTTCCAGAATAGAGTGATAAGGTCAGGTGGTCATACGGAAATGGTGAGCAGGATTTCCTCCTTAGTTCTCTGG